TACGTGTCGCGTCAGAAAGCAGACGTCTTCTGCAGCCACCGCACTCCTATCACCACACATCACCACAACAATTTTTCTCTCGCCGTCATCAAGGCATGGGGTACCGTTCCAAGAACATTCTACCCTAATAAACCGCCACTGCCACACGACATCGGCCTCGGTTACATCATCATTCGCTGCACAACAGGAGGAATTCTCATCGATACGGCGAGGAATTTCGACTGATTGAAACATGCAGCTCTTTTGCATGACTTCAGGAGTGCGGTGGACGACCAATTAGCGAAATTACCGAATGTTTTATATGGCTGGAGCACATGTTCAATACACCGTGTTGGACCATCACGACATATTTGTAACTGTAGCGGCATGCATACTGTGCACTCTCAGATTACTTCTTGAAAAGCTGCAGCGTATATGGAAGAAGAATTATTTTCAGAGGAAACAGAAGAATTGTGCTATTCATTTCTGTATCATCTACGCCACAAACGCATATTCCGACTTTCCCGGGATATCCAGCACTAGCCAATATTGCCGAATCAACTCAATAGGGGGCACTACTCTTCAAAACTTTGTTCTACTTCACCTACAACCAGTAGGACAATACGCTTGTTGACCGCTACGAAACAGTTAAAACCAACTAGCCGGAACAATGTTAGTGTGCGTCAAGACATCTCCCACACCTGCATCAAAGGACGGAATAGTTTATCAGGACCACAAATCTTACACGGAGTCCCATCAGTTGGATCACACTGAGCCGCAAAGGAGAAAGTTGTCAAGGCATGGACACCTCAACAAACATCAAGGATTACAGCGCATACGCGAAGGAAAGTCCAGGATTCAGTTGTTGTACACCAAGCTGCAAATGCTTATGATGCGATTGGTGCTATTATTGTAAGGAAACTTGCCTATATTACAAAGTTTACGTATGGCCTCAATCAGATACGATCTTCAAGATTTTCACATGCCCATATGGTCGGTAACAATCACAGGACGCATAACGCTGAAGACATCAGAAACGACGCACCATTACTACTTCATTCTAGAGGACCGTATATTTGAAACCAAATCGAACTAACCCTCACTACTACAACATTTCCGAACCTCCCGATCTTATATAGTTACTTCCTCACCGATGAAGTAACCGTAGCCCTCGTGGAACCGTCCTCACCTGGTTTTCCGCTAATGAACTCGGCGGACAACTTCAATGTGCCACATCGCAACCCGCCAAAAATTCCATTATGCATATTTTCAAATATCGTCTGCACTTGTACACCGCTCGTGCACCAATCTGCCCAGAAGGACACATTCGAAAATCCATGGACCGCGCGTAGCTATGACTATCTTTCATCAGAAAGGACCTCGTGATACCGCATCAGGATCACAAAATTCAAGGACACTAGGTACATTAGGAACAAGTATCTCCGTTCAAATCTCCATGCACGGACTTACCCTCTTTAAGCAGAGCGTTCACAGTGAATGCATTCTCAACGCAGGATCACTCACAAAATGCTCCCGGGTATAAGTTTCTTGCACATCGTCGATAACTGAGAAAACGGCAGAAATCCTGTGCGAGTACAGAGGAAGGATACTTCGTTTGTTTAGCCTCCGTCTAAGGACACGTGCGAAACGGAGGCTGACCGACTTCTTTGCTCACCAGCCCCTTTGACTAAATTTTAAAAAAAGTTCGAAGAATAATATTGCATTGTGGTGAAAACATGGTAATCAAGATAATTGTAAAAACGAATCAGTTTGATTCAACTTGTTCCTATTACTATAATAATTTCATTATAGTTAGACCAGTTGAGTTCAGGTGGTTCATTGCCTGCCATACAAAACACGCTAATAGCTTTATAGAACTTCATGTCCAGATAATAGCGTTCATTTTATTATAGGCCTATTTTCTGAAAGCACTTTTCATTATGCAGCAAATCGAAAGAGAAAAGAGCCTACATTGATGGCGATGACGAAGAAGGCAATAGAGATAATGGAAAAAAACGACAGAGGATTCTTTCTGCTGGTAGAAGGTGACTCACATAGCTCTACCAATTCCAAAACTAGGTCAACTTGTTACAGGAGGTATCATAGATATAGCACAACATTACAACAAGATGTACTATACATTTGCTGAAATGTACGAGTTTGAAGAGGCTATAAAAGAGGTAGACTCTGGAACTACTCACCTCTACTGAGAGCATGTGTATGTCACGTATTTCAAGGCACGTCAGATGACAGATCCCAGTGAGACGCTGATAATAGTCACAGCAGATCATGCTCACGCTCTCACAATCCCTGGATATGTGCCTATACAGAAAAGCATTTTCGGTAATATTTACTATGTATGTAGTACTCTTGAGTAGGAACATTTTTGATTTTGCTCATGAAATCTTTCCTACCATATACAATCCGCCAAGCGGTTGTGTCGGTTTTTATGTATGTGTATGGGTATGCATTGGGTTGTCTCATAATTCCTGTCTCAATTTTGACACTTTTGTTTATTCAAGTTTTATCTCTTCTAGGAAACAACTGATCAATAGCATAACCACCATCATGGTCACTGATATGCGTGCATACATTTGAAGCGTTTGGAGTGTTTGGAAGCTTTCCGTCCCAGAATGAGTGAAGCTGGAGGTTGAAGAATTTGGAGAAGTCGTTTTTGGGGTGTCATAATCTTTAACTTTCTTCTCTGGCAGATGCTTATTCAAAGCGCAGGGGAGGCGATAGTCCGATAGAGCGATGCCAATGCTATATGGTGGATGAGGTATCGTGGCCCTGGCTATCTCCCTCAGTTGGCATTGCAATGTGAGGTCTGGCGTACATTCGGAGAAAGGAGAATCTGAGACGTTTCTGACGATTCCCTCGCAATACCGAAGCCAGCCTAGAGGGCTATTCCACGCTGACTTTAGCAATGCTTGTCTTCATACATTGAAGTGGTTCCCAAACCAGGCCACCTAGCGAATCCAACAAAACGAGAGCGATATTCTCAGAAAACGGAGTTCGGGCTTTGGTTGAGCTGGTGCTTCCTGGCTGCGAGGCAGCCATCAGACGTGCCGCATGTTGTTGTCGCAGTGGACTCATGACTCATCTCCACTGGTGACCGATTAGGGAAGGCTCTGCTTGCCGTCCCAGAATGAATTTTCCCCAGATGGTCAGGCGTGCTTCTCGCTCATGGTCGGCCGGACCATATGGTTTCCATCAAACTTCATTCTGCAGCAGTCCTTTCCATACTGATGGCGTGTGCTGGTGCATCGGCTGCGCTCAGGTATCTGCTACAATACCCTGGTAGCAACGTCGGAGGCACTCCCAATTTAGGGTGCACTCATCAAAAATGACCGCAGGCCCAGTATGAGGTTGAAGTTCATAGCTCGTTTCGTCTTTGCCGTTGCGATTGGACCACTAGCTCAGTACCCTATCAGTAGCAGAGACTGGGTCAAACACAGCGCTGATCTTCTCTGTTGTCCTCCTTGCTACAGAGTTCATTTGAGGATCGTAAAGCATAATCATTCATTAGTCACTGACCTATTTTTATTCCTAGTTGATTAACCCGTTACGGGCTTGCGCTTCCGAAACCACGCTGTTAAGGCTCTTGAAGCATACTTCAACATACTAACGTATTTCGCAATGAAACGGTCTTAGACGGAAGAAATTTGAAATTGAATAGAAATGAGACAGGAATTATGAGACAACCCAGTATGTGTGTAGGTATGCCTGCTCCTCTGCAAAATGAAGTGATAAGGAAGCTCATGGTAAACAAATCTCCAACAAAATCGATTAGCAAGCGTGTCCTGACCTATCAGTGTTTCGTAAGATACAATTGTGAGAACAGCGCAACGATCACTCAAACACATACAGAGCACTTTTGCTGTCCTTCTCCATGGTGCTGCACTGGCACCCCGTACACTAGGTGTTGGTGTTACAGTGGAAAGGATTGCAGTGGAAGGAGTAAAGCTTACGAATGGTACTGGCGGTTGCCGCGGGACCGGCTTGGCACTGAAAAATTCACTACGGTGGTGGGAGAGAGGTGGGGTGTAGGAAGTGGGGTTGTCTCAGTAGGCTGTGGATGCACGCATGGTTTCTTACCAACTAGTCAATCTATCAGCGGAACGGTTTTCTAATGCCTCTACAACTTGAAGTGGGAGCCGAACGAGTGGCACGTAGCAGAACGAGATTCAAATATCTCCGATATAATTTTTTTGACTGGATCAAGTAGAAGTGTTCTAGAAGCATCAAGTTTCCATGTTAATGTGCACTGGACGGCAAAGATATGGAGGGTTAGACTTTTAGAGCTTATAGATTTTCCATCCGACGATTTTTCGAAGTGAGGACCATGCATAATGTTTTATAGTTGTAGTTTGCGATGAAAAGGCAGCCCACTAAAATTCAAGGTGAACGTGGTGAGTAGTGCTGGAAGAAGAATCCCTTTTTGCCTCTTTTCAAGCACACGTTTCCTTGTTTGATAGGATGTTGAACATGAATGTATGTACACTGCTGCTGTCTGCCCTTTACCGTTGTGAACACCAAGATTTGTTAGGGGAAAAAGCTTACAAGGGTTAACTCATCTGGTCGCCACACCAGATTTTGTCGGAATTCCCAATCATGTAGTTGCGAACAGCTCCTTCTTTCTTATTCTCAAAGAGACGAACAACATTTTTGAGAAAATTATGATCACAAAAAAATCAAGCCTACGACCGCCTGTCAATGTACCTCTTCGTTTCGAGGATAGCTCTGTGGGTGCAGGTTTGTCTATAAGGAAGAGAGTTATTGAAAAACAACTGAGATCCAAATAGAGGCCCTGCCAAAGCTTTCTGTGAGAGAAAAAATTCTAGGATGCGCTGAAGCAGAAGAACAGCAGTAAACCAATTTCTGCCACGTTAGTCATATGGTTTGTATGAGTGGTCCATCATCGAATACCCATTCTTATCTGCAGACTGGATACAATACAATTTTGTAGTGTGCATCCTAACTTCCAAATTTTTGTTCCAGAGAACCACCCAGTTGATACTAATCACTCAGTACCGAGCATGTTCTTTGCACTTGGACCAGGATATCGAGGCGGTTTCGTTAATGATCGGCTGACTGACAACACATGTATGTCATTTATTTATGAAAGACCTTATCAGTCAATTCAATATAATACAGATTCATCTTCATTCCCACAAAGGGGGCAATATTCCTTAATAGGAGTGCCAGGCAAGGGAGTACTGGATTATATTTGAGTTCCCATTACAATGGTTCCACTTTCTATTCTAAGGTTCTCCACTTGGACACTTAATGCCGGCATAGGCTTGTCGCTGTTTGTTAGTTATGTCGCTCTCTCCAATTTGATGTCTTACTATACCCTCCGCAGTACATTATCCCACAGCACTGATTTTATCAGTTGTAAGCATCTACGCCCATCTTTCATTATTTTCAAGCGTGATTCGAGCCGTGTCCTTTGGCATCGCATTCACTAAGCCGTTCACAGAGAGCAGCTGGAACAGTAAAGTGGTTGTCTGCTGTGAATGGAAGTACAGGTTAGCAGATGAAGAAAACCCGATAAATGGCTCAAAACCCTAAGAAGAAGTTGACTCTGCCTATGGATTTTCGTCCTAGACCAGCCAGTAATCAGGAATATTGACGCGGACATTCTCAAATATGCTATGTCATTGAAAGCGAAATGTTCGTCTAGAATGAAAACCGAACAATGTTGTCTACAGTGTCAATGTCTAGCACGCTTGTGCTATTGATGCGTGTGTAGCTAAGACTCTCCAAGGAATTGGCGATCACCACGGGTAAAGGTTTGCGTGGCCGCTTCGCACGCGCTTTTTGTCGCGAAAGCTCCACATCTTGTTCACCAGGGGTTTAGCCTCCATTTGACGTAGACAGATTTCCTCCATCCAATTGTCATACTACCTACATTTAAAACAGGTCAATAGCCATCATGTGCGTGCCAGTGTAACATAACTCACTAAGACTACTAACGACTATGTTTCAGCTAGTCCTTCTTACGTACAACCTAGTGCCATATATATAGATTCCGGCTTCCATGGTGGGGAAGATGTGGGAATTTGGGCTGATGGGCCTTTCTCGGAGTACGTCTGGACTTGGCTTATATCACCATGCTACCGTTGGCAACAACCCTTATTTGCAGATTGTTCTCTGGAGTTCTCGAGAATACCGAAATAGCCTACTTGATCAAGTATTTATTATGTATCGGAAACTCTGGTCACAACATATGTGACTCAGAAGAACAGAATACGTCATTATTCAACCAGCTCACAAGTAAGTTGTGAACTATTCCATCCTCCCTGTTCCAAAAAACAGCTCGACCACTCTGAGCCATGAGTGTGACAGCGAATTCGGCTAATTCCCAATCATAAGTCAGCATCTCGCTGCATTTCTCTCGGCTATTTTCCTTCTTTCTCAAGCAGCACTGACGAGTTAGGAGAACCTAAGCGGGTCAACCGCAGATGTGGTGGTGATTGGAACACCGCGGTCTGCAGTATAGGTCCGGGACAACGGTCATTTACGGAGAAAAATAATGAGAAATGAGATCTGGAGGAATGAATGGAGGCAATGTTGACTATAGGGGCAGAGATGAAGGATCTGTAACGTACGCTGAGGCTTCATCAGCATCAAAACACCTCCTCCTAGAAGGGCATTGCGGAAGGTCATTTACACATTGACCGGTGCAACAGTCATATCCACATAAATGTGTGTCTTTCAAGCAGCATGGAGCTCTTCCGTTCTCCGACAAGCTACTTTGTTGGTGAAGGGTTGTTAGCACTCGATCCCGAAAACGATCAGAAAGAACACTCG